GGGGAGTTTTTAAATTTAAAAAAAACCCCCCCCGGTGGGGTTTTTTTTTTTTTTTTTAAAAAAAAAAAAAAAAAAAAAAAAAAAATACTTTTATTCATCAAGGCCACATTCCAAAATCAACAATAAACAACATTTATATTAAAATAAATAAATGTTGCTCTATTTAACTTTCCATTTACCAAAGAATCCACAAAAACTATTAAGCCGGACAACTGCTTTCAACAGTGACAATAAGAAGAAATGCTGTAGTATGTGTACTGCAGTTATATCTGATCAAATGCACATTATTATTCTTTAGTTTGGGGTTAAACAAATCAACTTTGCTTGGTTAGAACAGCAGCTACGCTAATTATGTCTATTTGTTTCTCTGTTTTTGCCACGGGGTAACTAGGATTTACACAAGCTTCAGTCTGGATCCAGAACACCTGAGAAGAGATGATGCCAACCCCTCAGATGATGCCAACCCTGAAACAACATACAGAACTACCACATTTTGCTATAAGTTTGATTGCATCATATAATAATTGCTGTTAATAGTGTTCATCTTCTGTTTGATTACGTCTTTAATTGATTATATGCCAGTTAATGTACATATTGCCATATGTACATTAACTGACAGCCACCACTGATAAACTACCACTAAATATTGTAGAAACTTAATTTGCTGTAAAGTTGCTTTGCAACGATTTGTATCGTGAAAAGCGCTATACAAATAAACTTGAAATGCTTTATGAGCCCCAAATCAGCATATTAGAATGATTTCTGAAGAAAATTCAGATTTGCCATCACAGCAATAAATTACATATTAAAATACATTAAAATAGAAAACAGTTATTTTAAATTGTAATATTTTATAATAGTACTGTTTTTACTGTATTTTTGATCAAAAACTTAGCCGTGGTGAGCTTTTTTCAAGAACATGTAAAAAATATTTTGATCGGTAGTGTATGTTATTTATATATATATATATATATATATATATATATATATATATATATATATACACACACACACACACATACATACAGTGCTGCTTGAAAGTTTGTGAACCCTTTATAATTGTCTTGTTATCTCATCACAAAATGACACTGATAACAGGCATTTGAAGACTGTCCAGGGCGTTTCCCCCACCATTGCCTGAGACAGTGAGATCCAGCATCCCCGCTACTACAATGGATAAGAGGTTTGGATAGATGATTTCTCTTTTAGTAGTTTTTAGTTTTAGAAGTTTTGGTTATTTAGTAAAAAAGAATACAATATCAATAACACTTTAACCTTACCACTTTGATATTGGAAAACAAAACATGGTTATGATATTGTTGATGGTGATTTAAACATTCTGATTTTATACCACAAACACACACACACACATACAGTGCTGCTTGAAAGTTTGTGAACCCTTTATAATTGTCTATATTTCTGCATAAATATAACCAGAAAAATCATCAGATTTTCATGCAGGTCCTGAAAGTTGACAAAGACAACCCAATCAAACAAATGAGATGAAAATATATATACTTTGTCATTTATTTATTCAGGAAAATTATACAATATTACATATCTGTGAGTGGCAAAAGTATGTGAATCTCTAGGATTAGCTGTTAATTTGAAGGTGAAATTA